AATCGGACCGCATGCAGGACAACCCAAAGAAGGCCTCCACGACTCGTTGCTGCCTCGAGGTTCCGGGGCCAATGCTTAGCCAGGTTTTGCAGGGTTTACAGTGCTTGCAGGATCATGGGGCTTGGCAAGTAAAGGTTACAAGTACCCGTTGTAAGCAATTATAAGTATAGTTCCCTTATTGTTTGTAGCCCTAGATACCAAGTCCCATGATCCTTTAGGTAGGGTGTTGGGATTGTGATTTGAGGGCTTTGGGGGCTTCTGCCTTTCGGGTTTTAGGCCTTTGACGGCTTAGGGCTTTAGGGTCTGGGATCGGTTGTTGCTTGAGCCCGAAATGCGCTCACACAAGCCCAAACCCGAAGCGGAAGCCTCATGCTGAGGCCTTTGCCCGTGACAGCTGTGCAGGGAGAAGGCATTGCAATGCAGTGCTGACCTTTCCGGTGCGCTTCGAAGGTGTGCTGATGAGTGCTTCAATCGCAGAATCTTGCCTTGGCACAGCCGAATCATGACAGGATCGAAAGTTTTGGTGCTTTGCCCGAAAGCCGTCTGCGACACAAAACACAGTGATTTCTGAGTAGCCGAGCTCCGTGCCCTCGCTATGGCACTGTGTCGCATGCTTTGGATCGTGGTTTCGAGTTGGTGGGTGACTGCAGAGGGTGCCCAGCCGTGCCCCAAGGGCTACTACTGCCCTCCGCAGACTCGTGCCTTGGACCAGCCATCAACTTTTTACCCAGGAGTTTCAGACAAGATGAGACCATAACTTAGACCCATCATGGTAGAATCTTGACTTAGGACCTTCAGTGTCGAAACCTCGGTTTCGGTCCCACGTTGTGCTGTTCGATGTTAGTCTCTAAAATTGCACTTCTCTTTTCTCTGCCCCCGAAGGTCAGCCGGTTCTGTGCCCAAATCGCCACTACTGCCCGGAAGGCAGCGCCGAGCCTTTGCCCTGTCCACCTGGGCATGTCTGCAAGGGCCAGGACCTGGAGGCCTTGGTAAACGGAACCTGGGGAGACCTGGTGCCGCTGGCGGCAGGGAGCGAACACACGGTGGTTGTCTCCAACTTAGGCCAAATCTGGGCAGCAGGCAATAATGACGACGGCGAGTTGGGCACCGGCAGCACTGTTGAGCAACATGCCTTTGTGCAGGTAGCATTTAATGGGAAGAAGATTGTGGCCTTAGCTGCTGGATATGGTCACACCGCTGCGATCACGGATTCTGGCGAGCTGTGGACCTGGGGCTACAATGATGACGGCGAGCTCGGCATTGGGGACACCACGGATCGCCATGCCCTGGCCAGAAGATCGTGGCCGTGGCTG